ATGAGTCAGGTGGTAACATGGAGTCAGTTCCCTTTGGGGGCCTCTGAGCTCTGCATGGGTCCTTGTGGTGGGCCGCCGTGACCCCGAAGGCAGCCGACTTAGGAGGCTTGGTACAGCCAGTGGCAAAGCCAAGGAGACGAACCAGACAGGCACAGAGCAGCCATGCCAGAAGCTGCTGTGCCCCAGGAGACCAGAGGTGACGCTGGGCCAGGACGATGACAGAAGCAAAGGAAACCTGGCTTCCACAAGGCTGGCTGAGCAGCGCTCACTCAGGGGCCTGCCTCCACCCTGCCGAGCTGCCTGGCAGAAGCCACCAGGCCTCTGGGGAGACGCAGGGGCTCCTCTGTGTGACAGGCCAGCCCCTTTCTCTCAGGTGCACTGCCCTGGGGTCACAGGTGGGAAGGAGGGACGTCGGTGAATCGAGGGCTCAGCGAGGCCATGCTTGGATCCACCCCGCCCGGGAGAGCACGCGTTCTTGCCAGCATTTCCGGGGAGAAGCCATCGCCTCCTCCTGAGAAACTGCCAGTTTCGTTATTCTCTTGAGTCATGCACTAAAAGCCAAGACTGCCTTTGGGGAACAAACAAGCATCTTTCTTCTAAATGCCGTTTTGCTGATGACAGCAAAAGTGGAAATGTAAACGAGAGGTGGCGGCTGATGGATGAACATCCACAACAGCTAAAACATCCCTGGGGGCTAATGGATGACAGAGGAGGCTACGCTGTGCCTTCGGCCCTGCCCGGTGTCTGGGGCTCAGAACCAGCACAGGGGCCTACCGTCGCTGCTGCTGTGTGCTCAATTAGCCAACGGCACAGCCTAGGACAGGGCTCCGCCCGACCCGTAACCTTGGGCTCCTTAAGGAAAGACTCCTCATGAGCTGGTGGGGACCGTGGGGACACATACGTCCCACAGACGGCCCTCGTGCTGCACAGAGGGCGCCACCCACTGGCTTTTTCTCTTGGGAGTGGCCTCGGGAAGCTGTGCCACACTCTAGGAGGCTGCAGCACCACTCCGCTCCCACGTCCCCCCGCGGCCTCCTCACTTTGGTTGTCATAGCAACAGAACTGTACCAAAATGTAACCTTGGTGGATGGGCGGGCAACCCCCCAGCACTCCCTGGGGCTCCAGGAAAGCATTGAAACTACTGGCCGAAAGCTGGGAGAGCTTCCGGCAAGCT